AGAGATACTTCAACGTAGAAAATATTTTTAGTAATATTTCTGAATTTTAAGCTTAGTATAATAGAAAAAAAAATAATATTCCTGAGACCATTATTTTGTTTAAGTATCATAACAATTTAACAAAATAATTAAATTTCTATACATTAAAAAAAAGAAATTATTTACAAAATTCAATCCCATTCCAGGCGATGTACCAAAGACATTTAAATACCTTCGAAGCAGTCGCGAAGTAGAGAAAGCTAATCGAGCGTGAAAATTAAGTATTCCATCTCTATGAGTGAAGATGGCAAGTATAAGTGTGTCCGCGTGACATTACCGTTGGCCGGAAATGCATCTACGGGTTGCAATGCCCGTGGCACAACATAGCCCGTGTCGGCTGCGGTCATTTTCAGCGCGCTGGGTTAGCCAGGAATGTTAATAGAAAATACTCCGGTGTCTCCAGACTTTAATTATGAGCCGCGACCGGAAGAAGCTTCGTAATAAGCTACCATGATTCTCGTCGAAAAGTCATCGAAAACTTCCAAGGAAGAACCATAAAGATGATCAACCAGCGTGATCATGATTTAGGAAACAACCACGAAGGAAAGGGGTAGAGATCAAACGAAACACGAGTTTCTCGGATATTCTACATGAAAAACTTTCGTCGAATTTTGAAACGAACGTTGGAAGTGGAGCGGCAGTAACGTAACGTTTAAACTCGCGATTAAAATGCATTGCATAAAATCGAGTAGACTCCTATCGCCGAGCTGTTTCAGCACCAGGGATTTCCACCCACGCAAGCCTGCTATCATTCTAGCTCTGAATTTGATGAACACCGCCACTGTGCTTAAATAACCGATGATATAGTTAAGGAAAAGAGGTGGAGATAAATGTTACTACACTTCCGACAGATTTAAACGAATGGATTTGATTCTAGGCTATAGAAATATTCAATGAGAAATGCAAACACTAATAAGGAAATTCTTAGAAATGAAATATACCCTATTGACTTGGGTTAAAGCTTAAAATTTAATGAAATTTAATGAATTAGTATTGACTATTAATTAAAGTAAGTAGTACTGCTCGGATTCATAGAAAACAAGCATCTAACTATTGCATCTTTGATTGTAATAAATTTGAAGAATTGTAAAAATTCATTTTTTTCTATTAAATAAATAAATACAACATTGCTTGAATTGATAGAAAACGTGTACCACAGTATTGATAGAAATAAATAATATTATCCAAACAAGAGATAATATTGACAAAAACCACAAAGAAAGAGTTACCTATAATTTTCCTAATTCTTTTTCTTCTATTGACCTATCTCACGTTGGAATTCCCTTCGATTATCCTCGACTTTTGCCCACCGTTGTGTTATGCGGGATATGTCGGTAATGTCCGTCGTAACTTGGAAATGGTAAGAGGGCTCCAGAGCCCTATTTTTCGCGGTGCCAGGAATTCCTTTGGGTTTTGGGATCATTCTCTCTTTCTTTCACCCCTCCCAACTACTCTCTGTATCCTCATCCCTCGTACGCTTCTCTTCCCTCTATTCCCACCCCTATCTTTATTTTTTCGAGTATTACGTTTCTCTCGTGCCTCATTCACTCTGTTCCCCTACGTTTACTTCTTATTTCTCTACCATTCTCAGTTTCTCTCATTCCCTTCCTCTTTCGTTTCCTCTGACAAACGGTTTGTTTTAGAATGAAAAGCACGAAACCTTTTCATTCGCCGATCAATAATACCTCATCGATATTTTCTCTCGCAACAATGTTACAGTCTATTGAAAAGCGACCCGTATGGTTAACTAAACGCGGTGCACGTACAAATCTGTTGATACCCAGAGCACATATAACTAACACGTGTAAATATTTAACGCGAAACACAGGGGACCGGCTCTTTTTTTTACGATTATTACACAAACGACGTACGCGATACACGAAACGCCGTCGACGACACATCATTATTCCCGATGAAATGAAATTATGTAGGGACGACGGCTGATATTTGCAGTAACGCGAGGCAATTCGCATACAAAGCAATACAATGGATCATTTCGATCCAAACGTATCGCTTTTTGCAGCCGTCGGTGTTGAAACGAGAAACACCATTTACCAATTTTACCGGCTAGTCCTGAAAGACGACTACGGTCCGCGTTGCTTTCAGATTCATCCAAGCAGGAGTTTCCATGAAAGCTCTTTTTTCTTTTAAGTAAACTATGGTACACGGAGAGGTTCCACGGTGTAAGAGGTACGTCGAGGATACGAAAATACTCTTATAAAACGGAAGCATCGAGGATAAAATAGCGAGGCGAGAGAGAATGGTACTTTCCAAAATTAACTCTGGTACCATTTGATAATTCTTATAAAAATTTTTAAAGAGAGCTCGCTTATAAAGTGGTAGTTTCAGAAATTAATTTTAGTCCTAAATCGAGCCCAGATAATAAGAGAAAACAAAGATTATAGTAATGTATCATGTACGGTGATTTATATTTGAATGCATGCTTGCATTACTTATGCTGAGGTATAATTATAAATAGATTACGAATTGCTTATTTTGATAAGCCACGATATTCCCACTTTTAAAATAATACTATATTAAGACTATGCAAAAAATTTTATTATTTTTAATACTGTTTGAATTAAAAACAAATTAAAAATCCTATTACAATTTATATGTGAACAATGAACATTTTTGTACACCCCTGTTATATTTAAAGCTTATTTGAGATTATACATTTTCCATTTGCTGACTTGAATAATGCCGGAATAACGTTCATTTATAAACCTATTTATTTTATCCGGAATTTGTATTTCTTTAATATTAAATCCACAATAATTGTATTTCATGCAAGAACGAAGAATAGGGGATCATGTTCGATAAATCCACAATGATAATGGAATTTCATTAATTGACTTGGATTTAATTAATAATAATACGTTTTTCCATTCTAGAAATTGGAAATGAATTCTATTTGATGTTGATAAGTATGTAAAATAATAGAAACGATATTGTGAATTTTTTAAATATAACAAGTCTACTAAATTATTTTTCCATCAATCTTTTTCTTTAAGCTACACGACTGTTAATAGCTTATAGTTCGTAATTATATGTAACAAGAGAAAATCGAAGTATGTATTCCTCGCTCGACCTCTTCGAGTTTGCAACATAAAATAGATGTTCTTGCTAATGACAAAACCGATACAGCAAACGCTTCACGTACACGCACACACACGTGGCTAATGAGCGTCATAAAGTCGGTACACTATCAAGCAATAGTAATTAGTAAATGGATGTGAAGCTCGAGAAATTGATCTTTCATAAATTGCCAATCTAACTAGACCGAGTGCTAGTTATACAATTTTCAGGAATTATTTCTTATCTTTATGCAATTCTGAAAATTCTACTAAACCGTTCTTCGACACAAATATAAAATTTAACAGAACTTAGCAAATTAGTAATTTAATATTAATTCAAAGCATATAAATTTTTGTCGAACTATTGAAATAATTTTATAACGAACAGCAATAGAAATTCAGAATGTTTAAAAATAAATTGCAAAACTTGATCGTTGTCAATTTCTTTGAAATTATATTTTAGCGAGTGGTCTCTCGTGTGATTTTATATCCTAGAGAGATACCGATATTCGATAATTGTAGTTTACCGACTATAGCAATACACATCGGTGTTTCGAACACAGTATCTCGGGACAATCGAGATCAAAACGAGAAGCACTTATCGTTACTGCGTAAACACGCTTTGTGTATAGAATTTATTGCATCGATTGCTTTCACTGGCAATGCCAACTAATATGTATTAGTTTCTACAAACACGACCTAATACAATCAAAGCAATTATTTATTTGTCTATCTAATTCAATTATATCAAATATACACTGAGAAAATGTTGACAATTCAATTTTTATTTCCTAAATTTTGAACTATCCCTCTAAATATTATTTTTCTAAATTTTAAAATAACAAAATACAGCAATAATATATGAAAGATTAGAACGAAATTAATATAGAAAAAAAGCTGGAAATGTACCCTTGACAACGCATTTCGTTTCAAGTCAATACGTTGATTGGTTCTCAAGATATCACACTTCAAAGAGCGCACGAAATTCCAAAAGCGCTGTGACCTACTTTTTTCCCGCGCGAAATAGTAATAGTAATACTAAAGTTTGTGAATGAGTCATTCATAAACGCGTGCAAACATGGAGTAGTCAATGAACACGTGCTAGCGAAGAATTAAAAATTACGATTCTCTTTAAACAATCATATCTCCCAAACGACAGGTGCCATCTACATAAAATTAATATCATTTTAAACGGCATGCTTTCCCGGTTCTAACAATGTTTTGCAAATATATAAATTATAAATATTTTGCAAATGGCGGCACTTTTAAAATATACTACTTTTAATAGCAAATATATAGAAATAAATATATTAAATATTGAAACTAATGACTGTATTTGGACTCTGCATGTTGATATATTTATAAATTATAACAATATTTTTTTTTCAAATAAATTAATAACAAATGTACCAATGTTTATAATGTATAGTCTACGAAAGTTGTTAACTTTCTTAAAACATCCTGTATACTTTAAATAAATATTTTTGCAAATGCTAAAGCTTTAATGTTTCTAATCCAAAAAACTAATATACGAATTTATAGATATTAGAAATATGAATGTGTGCAATTAACTATCATAGAGCCATGTTAATTTTTATTTAAAATTTTAAAGCTATATAGGGAAATCTTAATTCGTTCTTCACGCGATAGTAACGATAAATGCTTCACTTTAAACCGCCACGTTAAACCGCAAGATATATCCGCTCAAGATATCTATCAAGCTCATCGATCATCATCATTAACAACAGCATTAAGGAATTAGTGTAACTAATCACAGTGCAACGCATATCTGCTTTCCTGACACAAGATAATGCAACGATAGATCGAACGGGGTTAACAGTATTCTCTCGCAGCCAAATGTAGTCAAGATTTTTGTTCACTTACCTTACTGCCGGATGCGGTGGATGTCGAAAATTGAATCGGAAGTCGTAGGGCCTGCCAGCTTGCACTTTTCCTTCCCCTTTTTTCCAGCTCACTTTCACACTTATAATACCACGTCGCTTTTCGCGTCACTTTTCGCCTCGATAACCGATCCACGCGCGTGCCAGCGTTGTAATCAGCCTCGATACGAGGCCTACGAAAAGCCGTCCTCACCTTTCAACGGTCGACGAACTATTGAAACCTACCTGTAAACAAAAGAGAGAATGTTTACAATTCGAGCACCATCTCGGGCTCGCTCGCTCGAGGAGGTAAACAAAGTTTTAGAAACGAGTATCCTTGTACGCATGATAACTTTTATTCTCAATTATATTCTAACGAAGATAATTTTCTGGAATTTTAATATTATGTACTTGAGTTTTATTATTTCAATTGCATATACAATGTATTATTTTTTGCGATACGTTGTAATTAAAATAATTTTTTGGAATGTCCGAAATATTTATAATTTCAATGTAAAATAAAATTTATATAAAGCACATCTAATAGAAATTTAAATATGTCCAATTAATCGTCATTTTTATTAATTTCGTAATGAAGGTAATTTCTTGGAATCTCAAAACTATGCAAATATTAATAATTATAATTTCAATAGTGCGAAACAATGTATAATAGAAATATGAATACATGCATTTAATGAAACATAATTTTGATATTGATGCAAATAATATGTACACAGTACGAGACTCATATATTTGTTCTTGAGATGAATATGGAATAGTTATTGTAAATTAATAAGCGGTTAATCTAATGTCATGCATCCACAAAAGGCGCATAAATTTACTCCACTATTCAGCTTAATATATTCCGGTATGGTTATCAATATGACTGTTTTGGTTCCATTATGAAGCAAGCACAAAATAAAGGGTTGATTATGATGAACGCATAACAGAGAATTGTATTATACTTTGACTCTTTGTTTTTAGTTGGAATTTATGAATTCAGTTAAATAAATAAATCGTGAATTAAAATTACAGGTGATAAAATTATTTCAAAATAATATTAAAAATTTTTTTCATTTATTCTAAATTCCATTACGTTAGAATTATTATTGCTTTATTAAAAATTTCAAATCTTTTGCATAAAAGAAATTATATAATATTGCAGATATTTAATTTATTTATTTTTAACAATCTATATTTTATGTAGCATATTTGTCAACCATTAATCAATCCACGATTCTTAATTATTCAAACGAAAATCTTGATTAAAAGGGCTATGTACTTTTGCAATTAAAACCTAATTTCTCTATAAAAAAATGAAGATTGATAAGAACGAACGGAAAATAAGGAAAAATAAAAATGCGATAGTCCCGCAGAAGCTTGGCAGAGCTGTGCAATCCCGAACCAACTGCAAAACTCCTTTGCTTTCCCCGATAACTTGTAAGTTATGATTGAGGGTGGGAACCCTTCGTTATGAACTTACAAGGTAGATATCATTTAAGAAGTTTCTCACCTCCTGTCTATTTGCAGTTTACACTCTGTTGCAAAAGGAGCTCCAAACCGACCAACCAATTTCCATGAAACTTTCTATGGGCTTATAAAAACTTAACCAAACTAATTGTGCTATTCTGAACTTTATTCATTTGTTATTCGTACTCCAGTATTGTTAAAAATTTACATCATCTTGAACAAACCCAAAATAAAAGTGCTTCCATTAACGAAATATTATTTATTTTATTAAAAATAATAGATGAAAGGATTTATTGATCCAAACCTTAAAAAATTAAAGTCCACGTTATAAATTATTCATCTAATTTACTCAATTCAGTCTACTTTTCTAATTTGATTAAATTAACGAGGAAATGCAATTAATAATAAACTATCAATTTTCACTAAAAATCTTATAAATATTCACACTCCAGTTGAAAATTGATTTATTTACAAAATTAGAGAGACCAACATCCTCGATATTTTTCGCAAACTTTTCAGTAAAACGTACTGTTATTTCTCCATACCTTTGATTCTACAAGATGAATGAGAAATTTTACGCCATTTCTTCGTCCAATTTATATCGTCGTGTTTTATAGCCACGTTGAAATGATTGCGATACCAGAAAACGAACAGGACAAGACCAATTTTTGCAGCATGAAAGGTACAAAATAATATCCTACAATCTAAAATATCGTTCAAGTGTTAGCAAACGATAAATCACATTATGGCTACAGAGTGAAGCGTTTGTTTTTCCACAATTCAATACAACAAAATATACCGCTATTGTTTCATTTCTTTTCAACGAATTTCTCCTCAAATGTTTGAACAGTCAACGAGGAACAGAAAAAAGGAGTATGAATTTTCGCGAAACATGCGGCCAGACAAAATTCACGCACGTGCACTCTTTGTATTTTTAAAGTACCTGAAATGTTGCAGGCGCGTTTCAACGTATCGCACTCTTTCAAAATAAATAAAAAAATCAAATTGCATTGTATGAAAGTACCAAGTAAATGAAATGATGTTCGCTACGTGTGTTATTCATGTACGAGCAACCATCATCAATAAAAGAATTTTACTTATCTAATTAGTCTAATATTTAATTAATACTCGTTCAATTACAAATCACTGAAATATTATTTTCAATACTTTTTCGATTATTTATACTTGGAGGTAATAAAATGACTTTTAACTGATAAGGGTGTATTTTTAATCTTCCCCTACAATATGTAAATGGAGTTAAGAATCAGCGAACGGTGACTAGGGTGGCATAAATATATTCAAGAGGAAAATATTTATTACCGTTACGGGATCAGTTAAAAAACATTAACCGGAAGTCGCACAATCGTCACGAAAAACGCGCTCTGTTTGGCACGATTAATATACAGGCCGCGTACTGATTTAAATATCATTTGCACGAGACACAAGTGCTCGCGGTCATTAGCGTCGAAAAGAATTTAATTGCAATTGTTCGAAGCCGCTGCCACGCCACCGTATTTCTGGGAAAATTAATCCGACACTAAAGTTGTCTTCGTATTAAAAAAAAAAAAAGAAGAGAAAGAAATATGAACAGTCTCTCACTTTAACGTTAGCCCAGATTTCTACCGAACCGGTAATGCGATTTTTCAGGTTTCAACGAGATTGCTCCTAAGGGTCTATTATTTGATCCGTATCGCATCGTACGCGAACAATATCGTGAAAAGTGTGCCGTAATTGTTAGCCCGGAAAAAAAGCGGCGAATGGAATCCACGTATTTAAAGGAATCGAAGTAAACGAACCGGTCTGAGGGACAATTAAAAACGTTTCACGCCTAATGTGCGAATAATTCCTGCAAGAATCGAACTTTTATTCACGGTACTCTTCAGAAGTCATAGAACACTTATCCATTTTCTATTTCAACAATAAAGAAATATGTCGAAATTATCCTTATATTTTATTAAAATATTGTAATTCAAATTCACAAAATTTTGCGCTATTCTCCAATTTTTAATATTGGAGCTTAAATAGCATCAATTGTTTTATTATAGAATTATGATTTTTATATAATTGTAGTTAAGGGTTGAAGAAAGATTCTACAGACACCGTAAAAGAATACAAATAATTTGGAAAATAAAATCTAACATATCTATCGTCATTGTTATTATGAATTTTAAATAATTAATAGTAAAAGAAATTAAGAAAAAGCTTAGCAAGTGAAAAGCTTTGATAAATGAACCGATTGTACCCTGAGAAATTGTAATGATAACGTGTCTGACTACACATGGTCATTTCCACTGTGGCAGTCACCATGTTAACGCGTTGAATGTTGTGAGGGTCATCAATAACTGGCACCAAAAATTACACGTATTTAAATGATTAAAAGAAAACAATAGAAAAATATAATTTCAACAATTAAGGTAGCAAATAGGAAGATTGGAATATACTACTTGAAAATTAACTATTCTTATTCTTAGTACCTGGAGTATTAATGTATCTTACAACAAACGTCCATTTCCACTGTAACACTGAACGTGTTAAAAATCAAATTACACTGGGAGATCGGTCACTCGGGCAACATGGTTCTCCACTTTTTGAAATTACTCACCAGACAACATTAGCCAACGAGTATCAAATCAAAAATATCAAAGTCGACGAATCACCCAGTAAATGTACACACAAGAATTCTCTATTCAAGAGACTGAAGAAATTAAAATAAAAAAAAAAAGATCCTCGGAGCAAGCTCAAAATTTTGTCTGGTTTTTCCCTATGTACCCTTTTTTTCAGTGCTCACAGTACTGGCAAGTCAGCAATTGGTACACACACACACATATAGGTGCAAACAAAAAAAAAGCGAAAGAGGAAGAGCAAAAATGCAGCACAAAGCAACAGGAAAAAGGAAAAGAATCCTTGATGGCAATGGATTCTATTCGAAATTGGAGAACGTGTTGAAAATGGCACTCTTACGTTTATATCGAATTATCACGTCCAGATAATTTGATCGATTGCCACTCGATGTAAATCAATATACCGCAAATTGTTCAATTATTCCGGAAATCCTGTAGGTCAGCTAACAACCCTTTCGCACAGAAGTCAATCCTTCGAGCAGGAACTTCGAGGCAAGGATTTGAAATTCGAAATCGCGAGAAATTCGAAGGAAAAGAAAAATATTCGAGAATTTTTTTTTTTCGTTTTTTTTGGAAAAATTTACGAAAGATTAACCGGTGAACGGAAGTTCCTCGAGGTGTCACCACGTATTAACGAATAGATCGACGGAATTCACCGCGATGCGAGGACGTCGCGACGGCTGACGGACGCAGACTGACTCGAACGCCGTCGTTCCTTGGTTTTCACGGCGCGCCGCGACGCCGAACGTCCCGACGCTGCTCGTCGAGGGCGCTCACGATCGTTCGTGCCGTTTCGTTTTCCTACCTTTCCGCCCCTTGTCTTTTCTTGCGATTCTTCGACGCGCACGATCTTACCCACCGCGACGCACCGCGTCGGGACGAGGGCTCCAACCTCTCGACACGTGCCACCCGCCTCTTTATGGTGCATCTTCGACGGCGGCTGAAGAATACGATGGGAAGAACGCGAAACAAGGGGTGGAAAAATGAACAAAGACGAATGCAACAGTTGTGATTCTTTTGCTATGCTCAAGAAAGTTGCCTTTTATTTTCTGTCAACATCGCTGCTTTTACTTTATACTCGAAGCTCTTTAACCTTTTATTAAGGAATGTAATATTTTTTTTTAAATAACGTGCTTTACACAAGATTTGTAAATCTTTCTGATTTAAAAAAATAATTAATTAAATAGAAGGGTAACACTTTAAGTCTCTAATTAATCCAATTTCCTGAATTCTAAGAGATCCTCTTAAATCTGCTGAAGAATTTGAATTTTTGGAACTCAAAATTTCTCGGAACATAATTTTAGTGAAAATATCCATATTACCTGGAACTCTTTAATTATAGGAAAAGGCTATACTTTGTCATGAACATTGGTAGGTTTCGTAAATTTGAAAAAAGGAGCTGAATCCTGAAAATATTTGACTAGGTAGAAATAAAAGTTACCGACATAATAATTCAAGAAAAAAAAAGAAAAAAGGAATGGTACACAGCTGATGCTACAGAGGTACGTGTACCTTATCAAAAGAAGAAAGTACAGTAGAAAGAAAATACGAACGCACCGACAGGAAACCAGTACAGAAGTAAACAGAGAATGAATAAAGTAGTTGTGAATCTTTTAGAACTTGCAAGAACAGCAAGCGGAATTTTTCTGGGTGTACTTCTTATATACCGCCAATTGGTACAAACTTTTGCATACAGATTCAGTTCGAATGTATTGATACAGAAAATTGGAAAAATAAATATGCACTTAAAATTTCATACTGTGGAATCAGATTGTTTCGTATATCAATATCAAATTAATTAAAATTTGAATCATTAATTGCCATCAATTACCAAATATTTAAATTATAATCATGAATTGCTATAAATATCACCCCGCATCGAGAAAAGGTTAATCGAAAAATCGATGAATCGGCATCGTTTTACCTTCAAAAAAATAAAGTGTAAAGAGGATTATCTGTCGCCAGTTGTGAAGCAATTTTTCTTCACGCGAGACGATGAGACAAGTAAAAGGGGTGTCGCGGGTTACCGGTGAGGATGCAACAGTTGCTCGTATGACGACGCTTCTCGCGTCTGCTTTGGCCGGCGTCGTTGCACGTCGCCGCGCCGCGTCGCGTCGTCGGTGTAATCGAGCGCTGTGACGAAGCACGTAAACGCGGTAGCGCAGGCTCCGCGTCAGGATGCCACCGGAAAGAGGGTGGCGTCGGTGCGGCTGTCCACGGCTTTATGTTCCTCCTGGGAATTCTCTCCCTCGCACCATCCACGTTCAGACGTTCACCCGAGAGCATAGCACCCGTATTATATGTATATATACGTACATGCATGCATGTATACACACGTGAAGCCGCGTTAAATGTCCAGCCGCCGTACAAAGCTTGCGACGACGAGCCGGATAGGAAACTTCTCCGCGATAATTATTATTGTTGCCAGGCTAACGGATACCACCCTCACGGATGCTGACACAGGATCACGCTTGTACGCGACACTTGACGTCTTTCGTTTCTAAAGGGTGCTCAAGGAAAGGGGTGAGAATTTACTCGGCAGACAGTACTTGTACTTGCTTCTCTAATTATTATATGAAATAATAAAAGAATTATTTGTAAATAAGTTAAAATAGGGATACAGGTATAAGCAGGTATAAACTGCATTTTTAAAATTTTTAAATACAAATTCTTTTAAATTTTATTGAATTAGAATTTTTTTATTCAATTTAAATATTCTGATTTATTTCAGAAAAAAATTGGAACCAAGAAAAGCCCAGTGATACGAGGTGTTTAGCGAGAAAGATTGAATGAGATGAAGAAAAATGTTGAAGAATTATGATCGTACAACTATAGAGGAAAGCTACACTTCAAATGTGGGCCGTAATTTTGACCTATCAAGAACATCTGCGTGGCATTCGTACGAACGAGTCGTAGTTACCTGCAATTGACAAATTTCCAATGGGCTACTTCGTGGCATCCGCCTTCGCAACAATTAGTCCTGATGAACTTTGGGAACACTTGGTGTTTGACACTGATGACGATTTAACGAAGCGAACATCAACACGTAGCTGTAGCTAACACGGTCAAAGAGGGTTCGATTACGGCAGCTACATGTGATGATCCTAATATTATCATCCCATTTCTTGTCAAGTTTAATCAATAACCAACACTGTACCCCTTCTGCACCCTTGGTAATTAATATTTCAAGAAAACCTTTTATCTAATTTTTCTATATAGCGTTAGTATAATATTTTTAATAAATATATTGTCTTCTTTTGTAATAATGATTTTAAAAAAATAATAATAATAATAAAGTTTCGTAAAGTACATGGTGGTAACTTTGTGGTAGGTGTTCTTACAAGACTTAATTAACGCCTCCTTCCAGAAACTTGATAACGTTGGGAAAATCTTAGCAGAAAATTTCGCAGATGCGCAGAATTGTTTCCAGGTTTGCGCTGACGCTATTTTCATCCGCGTAACTACCTGGCGGATTATTCACGCGGGTGTAATGTAATCCAGCTCGTACAGGGAAGGCCAATAGTTTGGGTTAGGAATTGGCGGTAGTTTCTACGCGAAATAGCTGCTCTATTCTTCAGTCTGCGGTTACGTAGTGTGAATATCTTCTGGATAGATGTATCTATTCGTCCTCCCCCCCCACCAGGATCGTGTAATCCTGGCTCGATCTAGAGAGCCAGTAATTTGGATTAGCTATTGACGTTGCATATATCGCCTGCCAATTCAAGGTGTTCACGCGTCAAGCGGTGTTACCGACGTTTCTAACGGGTCAGCTGATAATCGTGCATAAATGACCCTTGCTTTTCCCTTGGAAATTTTCATACTATCTTCCTTTTCTATTATCCATGATATAACATCATGGATTTAAATTAAAAATTTTTTATCAATATTTCAACAGCTCTAATACTAGAACTACGAAAGGGATCAAAATAACTGGTTTCCTATCTTTTATTTTAAATTATAAATTTTATCGAGGTATTTTTGTTGAAACGTATGTTGGCTGTCGAGCTAAAAAATGAATGTATATTAAATTAAGTTTCATCCTTCATGTAGTAATCTACATTATTTTCAACTTAAAAATAAGTATGCATCAAACGTCGGTGGTTCTAGTGTCAACTCAGACCTATGTTATGAAATTGCAAATTTGACTAATTACGAGGTGATTAATAAGACGAGGGAAGGTAGTAACAAGAATAACTAATGAAGATTTTAATCGCATCATAAACATCTATCCCGAAGCAAAATCTCTCGCCAAAGGCGAATATCTAACTTCCTAATTGTTCGAAACACTCAACAGAGGCGATGGTAGAACAAAGGCGCTCATTACTCTTACACGCTCGTTTTGGCTCTCCGTTCTATGTATATTGATCGATCTCACACCCATGTAAGCAGCTTTCGCACAATCAGTTGATTACACCAACTTCGAAAACCTGTGTCCCATACCGTACATATCCTACTCCCTTTCACCTTCCCCCGTTTCTACACGTGTGTCTAACCGACTCTTCTTTGCCGTGTGCATCGTGCCCGCAGGTGCAATTCACCTGTACCGCTCGATGTATTACATTGCATTAACGAGTACGACTTATTTACAAATCGTACCCAGGGGAGCCGGGAGGATACTTGCTCCATTTCTGGCGGGTGTTATTTTTTTCCGCTCATTCGCGCGTAGATTTTATCCCGAGGCCGGAAACGAACACGTTAGATACAACGCGAGTATATACGTCCCTCGAGAACGATAATAGAGAAACTTTGTACCCGATTAAAAGGCCTCTGCCTTTCGATTAGTCATCACGGATATTTGTGTTCCGTGATTCAGAAATTTCTTGGCAATATTATCTCTGTTTTCTGTTGCGTCCCGTGTTGTTCGCTCTAAACGAATGTCATCGTGGTTAGAGTTTTTACTGGTTGCAACGTCTTTTTATGATATTTTTATTCAGCGCATTTGTTATCGTGGAAAGGAAAGTTTTTTTTTTAACCCTTTGACTGCTATGGATACACATATGCGTTCATAATTTGCAAATAAAAGTTATCAATGCATATTACTAATTACACGCCATATGTAATGATGCGATAAAATAATGAAAAAATAAATTGAGAATTGAAATGAAATAAAAAAATAAAAAGGATAGATTTTATTTACTTAATTCTTATTTCGTGTACACAGAACGTTTCTAGAGTACTCAGCAATCAAAGGGTTAATATATACATTTGGAATAATTATGTGAATTTATTTTTAACGATTCGGTTTGACGAAATCTCCTCTTATTTACGAGGAAAATAAACCGGTGGAGAATCAAAATTTCCATTTTCTTTTGTGTTTTTTAATAGCGACATAAACGTGTGACGTTGGTAGCATCAGCGTGTGTTTTATATTACAAGAGGCTTTTTTGTTATCAGGTCGAGCAGTCGAGAACAGAAAGAGCATACTGTCACGTCTGGTGTAGGTTAATCAGAATTTTTACGAGCCCCTCTGAAACTCGGTGCAATCAACATTAACCTTTACTGCCAACTACTAATGCACCAGAATCAGCGATCCATCAGTGTATGTGGGTGCATTTTATTAGTCTTCCTATACAAGATGAGTTTAGATCGACTTTAATCGTTCACCACACCCAGCTCATAATTCTGCACCGTTTAATCCACCGTTCGAGTCTAATAACTCCTTCAGTCCCAAATAGTTCCTACTTTCATCGATCTCTCCTTGGATTTACTCTCCTTACCCTACTGGAAACACTTGTTC